CAGCTGTATGCGTTTCTCAGTAGAAATCACAGTATGACATCCTTCCTAACAACTGGCAATCACTTATCTGTTTCTTGTCACTATCATTTTATTGTTTGGGGAATGTTCTATAAATTTAATTGTTACCAGGCAGGGATACCGATCCAGACCTCAAGAGAGGTTTTCTTGGATCTTGTGCAAGGAAGAAGTCAGGGCGAATCTGTAAAGTGAAAGCAGGTTGATTAGGAAAGTAAAGGACTGAAGCATGGCTCCTCCCTAGGCAGAGCAGCCCTGAAAGCTGCTGGTTGCCCATCTTTATGGTTATTTCTTGATGATATGCTAAACACGGGTGATTTATTCATGCCTCCCCTTTTTAGACCATATAGGGCAACTTCCTGACGTTGCCATGGCATCTGTAAACTGTCATGGCGCTGGTGGGAGTGTAGCACTGAGGATGACCAGAGGTCACTCTCGTGGCCGTCTTGGTTTTGGTGGGGTTCGGCTGGTTTCCTTACTGCAACCTGTTTTATCAGCAAGGTCTTTATGACCTGTGTCTTGTGGTGACCTCCTATCTTATCCTGTGACTTAAAAAGCCTTAACCATCTGGGAATGCAGCCCAGTAGGTTTCAGCCTTATTTTACTCAGCTCCTATTAAAGATGGAGTTGCTCTGGTTCAAATGCCTCTGACAGAATCATACAGTATGTGACCTTTTGGAAATGGCCTTTCTCATTCAGCATTTTTGCCCTTGAGATCCATCTAGTTGTTGCCCATATCATTTATTCCTTTGTTGCTGAATAGCATTTTTTAGTATAGGTTTATCACTGTTTGTTTACACATTCACCTGGTAAAGGATATTTTGGTTGTTTCTGGTTTGGGACTATTACAAATAAAGCTGCTATGAACATTTTTGAACAGGTTTTTATATGAACATAAATGTCCATACCTCTGGGATAAATGCCCAGGGTTGTGATTTCTGGGTCATGTGGTAGACAGCATATAGCTGGGTCGAATTTTTTACCCATGCTGGGCACGGTGGCTCATGCCTGTAATGCCAGCACTTTGGGAGGCCAAGGCAGACAGATCACTTGAGGCCAGGAGTTGGGGACCAGCCTGGCCAACATGGTGAAACCCCGTCTCTACTAAAAATACAAAAGTTAGCTTGGGTTGGTGGCACATGCCTGTAGTCCCAGCGACTCAGGAGGCTGAGAGTCAGGAGAATTGCTTTAACCCAGGAGGCAGAGGTTACAGTGAGCCAAGATCCCACCACTGCACTCCAGCCTGGGCAACAAGAGTAAGACTCCGTCTCAAAAAAATAAAAATAAAAATATCCACTCTGCCTATATCTGTCTTTTAATTAGTGTATTCAGAAGATTTGCATTTTATATAATCACTGATATATTGAGGTTAAACCTGCTATTGTGTGTCTAGTGTTGTTTGCTGGTTTTGCTTTCTTTTTCTTGCCTCCCTATGAGTTACTTGAGCATTTTTTAGAATTTCATTTTGTTTTACCTGTAGTATTATTGAGTGTATCTCTTTGTCTAGATGTTGTAGGTGTTTGCTCTAGAATTTATGCTGTACAGCTAGTGCTCGACTTACGACCACGATTGGTTCCAACAGACCGGTCGTAACACGATTTGGTCGTAAGTTCAGTAGGCTATATGTACAGTACTGTGAAATGATGTTATAAAAATCTTTAAGTCATATTTTATCATAATTTTCTTTCATTATTGTTATCATCATTTTCTTTGTTCATTTTATGCCATTTGTATCATCTCTACACCATTTTGTTTCTTATTTTTGCATTCGTCAGGTTTAAGTAAAACACTGCATTACCAGTACAACTGGTTTAATATTTGCAAAACATACAAAATTACAAAATACAGGTGCATACAAAAATACAAAATACAGGTGTAAAAAATACCATAGGAAACATTTTCCCAATTGCAAAACATATCAAAATATATAAACATGTACGAAACATTTTATTGGCCGCTGGTGCTTGGCTGCGGATCGTTGATGTCGTCATCTGAGGCAGCTGGTTGGGGTTACCGGAGTTGGTATTTTCATAAACACGGTGAGCTTTGTCTGAATTGTATGTTTCTTTTTTTCTGCATAAATTTCATGATACGGCAAAACACTTCGTGCGTCATCCGTTCAATCCTTGCAAATCGTTCGATGTTTGGGTCCATTGCTTCAAAATGTATAAGAAGTTTATTGGGAGGGGTTTGATGAAAAATATCCAAGACACAAGAGTCTGGGATAACAGTTGAAATGGTGCACGCAGAGATGGTAGTGCTGCCAGAAGCTGGTCCGCACTGTCATACGCCCAGCTGGGCAACGTTTGTGCGGCCAGACGCGGAGTAGTCGTGGCTAGCGATTGTGGTCGTAAAGTCGAATGGTCGTAAGTTGCATAGGTCGTAAGTCGATCAATACCTGTAGATGGATAAATACATGTAACTTATCACAGTCTAAAAAGTTAACATTTTACCAGGTTAAGCAGCCTATAGAAGCCTTACCTTTCTTTATAGTCCCTTTACCCTCCCCTGCTGATCATATAACTGTCTGAGATATTTCTGCTATGTACATTGAGAACCACTTCAGACAATGTTACCATTTTTGCTTTAAATGGCAAATGTAATTTGGAAAATTCAAGAGAAGGAAAGTCTATCATATTTACCCTTTTTTTTACCCCTTCCTTTATTCTTCCTTCCTAATGTTCCAGGATGCCTTTTTAGCCAAGCGTGGTGGCTCACGCATGTAAACCCAGCACTTTGGGAGGCCTACACTTACTGTTTGCCTACACATGCTAGACATTATTCTGAGTGTTTAATATGCAATATCTACCTCATTGGTGGTTGTAAGGATTAAATGAGTTGATGTTCTTACTCATTTTGCACATGAGGAAACAGGCACAAAGAAGTTGAGAAGCATAGCTAGATTCGTAGGCATTATCTGGGCAGAGAAATACAGAGAGAAGGTGCTAGTGGTAAAAACAACAGCATGTGCAAAGGCACAGAGACACGCGGGCTCCTGGTATATAGCAGTCCTCCCTTATCTATGGGGGATGTGTTCCAGACTGCCTTTGGGTACCTGAAACCACCAATGGTACTCAACCTTCCATACATACTTACATACATATGATAGTTTAGTATCTTAATTCAGTGCAATAAGAGATTAATAACAATAACTGATAATAAAATAGAACAATTATAACGGTATGCCAGCATCACTACTCTTGTGCTTTGAGACCATTATTAGTTAGAATAAGGGTTTCTCAAACACAACCACTGTGGTACTACTTGATAATCAAGATGGCTGCTAAGTGACTAACAGCAGGGAACCTATACAGTGTGGATGTGCTGGACAAAGGGAGGAATCGTAGCCAGGCGCTGGGGCTCATGCCTGTAATTCCAGCACTTTGGAAGGCTGAGGCGGGTGAATCATGAGGTCAGGAGTTCAAGACCAGCCTGGCCAATATGGTGTAACCCCGTCTTTACTAAAAATACAAAAATTAGCCAGGTGTGAAGCCACACGCCTATAGTCCCAGCTACTCGGGAGGCTGAGGCAGAAGAATCACTTGAACCCAGGAGACGGTGGTTGCAGAGATCACGCCACTGCACTTCAGCACTTCAGCCGGGGCAATAGAGCGAGACTCCGTCTCAAAAACAATAATAATAAAAATAAAGGAAGGAATCACATTGTTTATTTTTGGAATTTTCCATTTAAAAATTTGGGGCCAAGGTTGACCGAGGGTAACTGAAACCTCAGAAGCAAGGCTGTAGATAAGGGGACAACTCTATTCAAGGAAACCTAATATTTCAGGAAAATATAGCCAAGGAGAGAAAATGAAGCTGGAAAAGCAGGTCAGAGGTCAGGTTGGGAAGGGCTTTGTACTTTTTATTTTGTAGGTCATGGAGTGCCAAGTCAGACTTCTCTCCTTTTTTTTTTTTTTTTTTT